GGGATCAATGAACTCGAAAGCAATTTTAACCTTTTATAGGTTAGGTAAGGTTTTCAAAGGTTTGTTTGGTGTTCTTTTCAGTATTTTACTTCACATTGTAACATTTCAATTTAGAGCGTTGAAAGTTTAAAGGGCTATTATGATTTTGCAATTAAAAGAAAAACATTTCTTGCATCGGTATAAAAATCTACATTAGAAATAAATATTTTGAGTTCAGTACATGGGTCAAGTGCCCCTGTCAAATCCGTCATGGAGACCTAAGGTTATATTCCGGCCAGTACCTCAATTACTGTTCTATGAATGACTCTTTTGAGTGTATAGTTTTAAGATCAAACCAGAGACGATGGCTCTTAAACTTTCTTCTAAACTTTCTTTATTTCTAAAATCTATATATATATAAAGTTGTTGCCTCTGTCTGTTTGTTCACGAACTCCTCCTAGGGTTTTCGAGATACACCCTTATCACCATATATATTCTGAAACTACAATACCCAGGGTACTTGGATAAGTATATTTCATTTTGATCAAAAGGGGTCCCCGGGGGGCACAAACCCCCCACTGAAATTTTTTTCCTTTCGATTTAAATGAAATTTAAACCATAGGTAAATGACCAGAAATGATACCTATTCACAAAATATCAGCAAATTTTAATAATATTAAGACACCCTAATGGGGGCTAAACCCCCCTATATTGAAAATTTTGGAAGCCCATAACTTGAGTATTGGAACCTCTATTATCACGGGCTTTTTCTATTAATTAAACGTAAAACAACAACAAAAATTACCTGTCTTTTATAGAAGAATTTGGCAAATTTAGACATTTTATCTATGACAAAACATCACTAGAATTATGGCAAGAAAAATTATTAGTTAATGCCTCTACTTTTTTAACATTTTCATTTATTTATTTTTTTATTATGCCACGGAAAAGAAAGTCCAGTTATGCAAATACTCCACATGCACAAAGGATGGGGCTTCGTCGTCAATCTGAAAGCTGTGATGCAAGGGAAGAACGACTTTCTAGGCAAAAACAGAGGCAAACAGAGTCTCGGCAAAATGAAACCTTGGGTGAGCATCAAGAAAGACAGGAGCAAGATAGATTTCGCTATATAGTTGTAATGAAATGAGTCTGAAGAAGAGAGACAACAGCGTTTGATTGCTGATACATTTCGCCATATGGTTGCAAGGAGAAATGAGTCTGAAGAAGAGAGACAACAGCGTTTGATTGCTGATAGAAACAGGTAACAAAATTTAAGACAACGTGAGATTCAAAATGCTAAACCTTCTGCATGACAAAAAAGACCCATGTAACAAGGCTGCAATTGGAGAAATGACCAAACTTTGTCAGTGTGGCGCTAAGAAATTACTGGAGAATCACTTGGAATGTGCTGTGGAAATGGAAAGGTTACACTGGATCAATTTCCACCTCTGCCTCAGTTATTTGAAGAACTGTTCACTGGGGAAAGTCAATTCAGCAAACACTTTTTGTCAAGACTCAGGGAGTACAACTCTGTTTGCCATGACCAGCTTTGGTCACAAAGATGCATCTGTCCAAGGTTGGAATCCATCTGTAAGAATCCAAGGTCACTGATGCCTCCTGAAGATAGAAGAGCAAGATACATTCAAGTTTACTTTTTGGACACTTTGGAAGATCAACTGAGAGCAAGAGGAGAGCATCAAAACTTGAATGCTGATATATTGGAGAGAATTACAGCCTGGTTAAATGAAAATAATCATTATGTGAGGGAGCTAAAGACTGCGCTAGAGCAAGTACGGCAAGGAAACATAAATGACAAGAAAATTGTAATTTGGGAAAATAAGCGTGCCCAGGGAGAACATGCTCGGCGTTTTAATGCACCACCAGGGGCTGAAGTTGCAATTTTAATGTCAAATGAGCCTACAGAAAATAGAGATATTGTTCTTCAGTGGAAACAAGGTGGATTGAGGAGAATTTCAGAGCTACATCGATCCTATGATCCTTTGATGTATCCATTGTTTTTTCCATATGGAACAGACGGCTACCACATATATTTGCAAAGGAGAAATGGTCGGAAAGTCACACAGTTGCAGTTTTACTCTTTCCATATTATGGAAGGCGACTCTTCCAGCAATTCCTGGTGGATGCATACTACAAAATAGAAACGGAAAGATTAAAGTTTTTGAGAAGAGAACAGCAAAGTCTCCGTGCTGAAAATTACTCAGATTTACGTGATAGTCTGCTTGCTGCTGATGGAGATCCAAATCAAGTTGGTCGTCGCATTGTGCTTCCAGCGACCTATACTGGTGGTCCTCGATACCTTCATGAAAAAAGGTCAGATGCGATGGCCTTTGTGAGACACTACGGAACAGCAGATTACTTTATCACTATGCCATGTAATCCACGTTGGCCCGAAATTGTTGACAATTTGGCTCCCGGACAAGAGAGTCATGATCGACCAGATATTGTTGCGAGAGTCTTCAGATTAAAAGTGAAAAAGTTTATGGAACATGCGAAGAAGGGAATATTTGGTACTTTGCAAGCATGGCTGTACACCATTGAGTACCAGAAGAGAGGTTTACCCCATGCACACTTTCTTTTCTGGATAGCTCCAGAGCACAAAATCAAAGCCGAAGAATATGATTTGACAATTTCTGCAGAAATCCCTAAAAAAGAGCAAGATAAAGAACTCCATGATCTGGTCATGAAACACATGATCCATGGCCCATGTGGTCCCCTAAATGAAGGATCCCCATGTATGGTCGACAGAAAATGTTCCGCGCAAGGCGCGGGTAATTCGGCTAGTAAGTATATAAGTATATAAATTGAAGTGTCTATCTCTAAATTGTGTGTCTGTCCCAGCTACAGTATAGCTCCAAAACGGAAGCAGTTAAAGAAATGAAACTTGCACACATATTACACGGGTCCCAAGGTTGTCCTCCTAGGTATTACTGTTGACCACTGACCCCCAGGTGGTCCAGGCGAGAACCCAAAATCCTCCCAGACCGAGATATCACCCTGGCGATTTTGGGAGCTGGCTACCCGTGTCTGGGAGGACAAACTGTGACGGTCAGGGTTAGGTTAAGTTGGTTTTGATTGGCTTGGAGTGGGGTAGTTTAAGTTTCGTAGGGTATTTATGGTATGGTATAGTAGGATAAGTTAGATTAAGTTACAGTAGGTTTGGTTGAGGTTGGTACCCGTGTCAGGGAAGGCATACAGTGACCGTCAAGGTTATGCAGTACTGTATAATTATATAAGGTGAATAATAACAATAGGCTGTGCAATGATTTTATTTGGCCAAGTTGACAATAAAATGTGCTAGATAAAATGTAAACAAATCTTACATATGTTTAATATTTCTCTTATAATAATACATACTTTTTACTGGGTGTGTGTGAAGCAGATGTGAGGTGTTAACAAACGTGTGCGTATGTATAGTGTGTACAGACGTGTGTGTATGTGTGTGAAGCATATGTGTGGTGTTTACAGATGTGTGTGTGAAGCAGATGAGTGGTGTTTACAGATGTGTGTGTGAAGCAGATGTGTGGTGTTTACAGACGTGTGTATATGTGTGTGAAGCAGATGTGTAGTGTTAACAGACTCGTGTGTGAAGCAGATGTGAGTTGTTAGCAGACGTGTGTTTGAAGCAGATGATGTTGCAACAAGACTCCTTTATAATTTGTGTTGTAGGGAAAGTGAACTTCAAAGAGTGTCACAACCAGGTTCTAGTCACCATGTGCTACAGTCCAGGGGTCACCAAACATTTTTCACAGTGGGCCGGATAACTGAAAGAATGACGAGCGCGGGCAGCATAATCATCCTGTTCGATACTTGCAAGCCAGAACGAAAGCTCTGGTAACGTCAGAGCGTAGGCGGAGCTACCACGAGCCGGGGAAGGACTTGGGATCCGGCCCGCGGGCCGTAGTTTGGTGACCCCTGTGCTACACAGTAAGAATTAACCTAACCTAAGCTAACCTGACCTGACCTAACCTAACTTAACTTGAGCTGACAGTGAGCATCAGCAGTTTACAGTAGTCAGCAGCAAGTAAGTACAGTATTGTAATCAAAGCCTCAGTCATCAGTAAACTTGTGACTGCCTCAAACATATCGATATTAAGGGTAAATTTAAGGACGAGGAACTACGTCTCCTCCCTCCAGACGCCCGTGAGACTTAGTTAACACATAGAGCCAAGTTAATTTTGGTGTATCTTCTCGCTTAGGCTGTATGAAGGATTAGTTGTTGAACCAACATCATGATTAAATCTTTCATTCCGGTCAACATCAGTTACGGTCAACATCAGTTACGGTCAACATCAGTCACGGTCAACATCAGTAACGGTCAACATCAGTCAGAGTGAACATCAGTTACGGTCAACATCAATTACGATCAACATTAGTTACGGTCAACATCACTTACAGTCAAAATCAGTTATGATCAACATCAGTTACGGTCAACATCAGTTACCGTCAAAATCAGTTATGGTCAACATTAGTTACGGTATCCCTGGCCGCTGGAGAATCACTGGAGGCAGGAATATTACTGGAGGCCGGAGTATCACTGGAGTCTGGAATATCACTGGAGGCTGGTCTATCAGTGGAGGAAGGATTATTACTGGAGGCTGGAGTATCGTTGGAGGCTGGAGTATCACTGGAGGCTAGATTATCACTAGACGCTGGAGTTTTACTGGTCGCTGGAATATCACTGGACGCTGGAGTATCACTGGAGGATGAACAAGTACTGGAAGCTGGAGTATCGTTGGAGACTGGAGTATCACTGGACGCTGGAGTATTACTGGAGGCGGGAGTTTCACTGGAGGCTGGGATATTACTGGACGCTGGAGTATCACTGGAGGCTGGAGTATCACTGGAGGCTGGAGTATCACTGGAGGCTGGAGTATCACTGGAGGCTGGAGTATCAGTGGAGGCTGGGGGATCACTGGATGTTGGTAGTATCACTGGACGCCGGAGTATCTCTGGACGCTGGAGTATCATTGGAGGCTGGAGTATCACTGGAGGCAGGAGTTTCACCGGACGCTGGTAATATCACTGGTAGCTGGTGTATCTCTGGACGATGGAGTATCACTGGACGCTGGAGTAACACCGGAGGCTGCAGTATCACTGGAGACTGGAGAATCACCTGCAGTATCACTCGAGGCTGTATTATCACTGGAGGCTGGAGTATCGCTGGTTGCTGGAATATCACTGTAGGCTGGAGTTTCACCGGAAGCTGGAGCATCACCGGAGGCTGGAGTATCACTGGAGGCTGGAGTGTCACTGAACGGTGTAGTACTACTGAAGGCTGGAGTATCACTGGAGACTGGAGATATGACTGTAGGATGGAGTATTACTGGAGGCTGAGGTATCACTGGAGGATTAATTAATTATCATTGAAGGCTGTAGTATCACTTGACGCTGGAGTATCACTGGAGGCTGGACTATCACTGGAGGCCTGATCATTACTGGAGGCTAGAGTATTATTATATGCTGGAGTATCATTAGAGGCTGGAGTATCACTGGAGGCTGGAGTATCACTGGAGGCTGGAGTATCACTGGAAGCAGGAGTATCACTGGATGGTGGTTGTATCACTGGGCGGTGGAGTATCAATGGATGCTGGAGTATCACTTGAAGCTTGAATATCACTGTACGCTGGAATAACACTGAAGGTTGGAGTATCACTGGAGGCTGGAGTATCACTGGAGGATTAATTATCATTGAAGGCTGTAGTATCACTGAACGCTGGAGTATCACTGGAGGCTGGAGTATCACTGGAGGATGGAGTACCACTAGAGGTTGGAGTATTGCTGGAGGTTGGTTGTATCACCTGGAGTATCACTGGATGCTGGAATATCACTGGAGGCAGGAGTATCACTGGAGACAGGAGTAACACTGGAGGCTGGAGTATCACCTGCAGTGACGCTGGAGGCTGTAATATCACTGGAGGCTGGAGTATCACTGGTTTCTGGAGTCTCTGTAGGCTGCAGTATCACTGAAGGCTGTAGTATCACTGGAGACTGGAGTATCACTCGAGGCCGGAATATCACTGGAGGCTGTAGTGTAGTATCATTTGAGTCTGAAGTATCACTGCCATCTGGAGTATCACTGGACGCTGGAGTATCACTTGAGGCTGGAGTATCACATGACGATGGAGCATCACTGGAAGCTGGAGTATCACTGGAGGCTAGAGTATTTCTAGAGGCTGGAGTATCACTAGAGGCTGGAGTATTGCTGGAGGCTGGTTGTATCACCTGGAATATCACTGGACGCTGGAGTATCACTGGAGGCAGGAGTATCACTGGAGGCAGGATTAACACTAGAGGCTGGAGTATCTCTGCAGGCTGGAGTATCACTAGAGGCTCGATTTACACTGGAGACTGGAGTATCGTTGGAGGCTGGAGTATGACTAGAGGCTGGAGTATCACTGGAGTCTGGAATATCACTGGAGGCTGGTCTATCAGTGGAGGAAGGATTATTACTGGAGGCTGGAGTATCGTTGGAGGCTGGAGTATCACTGGAGGCTAGATTATCACTAGACGCTGGAGTTTTACTGGTCGCTGGAATATCACTGGACGCTGGAGTATCACTGGAGGATGAACAAGTACTGGAAGCTGGAGTATCGTTGGAGACTGGAGTATCACTGGACGCTGGAGTATTACTGGAGGCGGGAGTTTCACTGGAGGCTGGGATATTACTGGACGCTGGAGTATCACTGGAGGCTGGAGTATCACTGGAGGCTGGAGTATCACTGGAGGCTGGAGTATCACTGGAGGCTGGAGTATCAGTGGAGGCTGGGGGATCACTGGATGTTGGTAGTATCACTGGACGCCGGAGTATCTCTGGACGCTGGAGTATCATTGGAGGCTGGAGTATCACTGGAGGCAGGAGTTTCACCGGACGCTGGTAATATCACTGGTAGCTGGTGTATCTCTGGACGATGGAGTATCACTGGACGCTGGAGTAACACCGGAGGCTGCAGTATCACTGGAGACTGGAGAATCACCTGCAGTATCACTCGAGGCTGTATTATCACTGGAGGCTGGAGTATCGCTGGTTGCTGGAATATCACTGTAGGCTGGAGTTTCACCGGAAGCTGGAGCATCACCGGAGGCTGGAGTATCACTGGAGGCTGGAGTGTCACTGAACGGTGTAGTACTACTGAAGGCTGGAGTATCACTGGAGACTGGAGATATGACTGTAGGATGGAGTATTACTGGAGGCTGAGGTATCACTGGAGGATTAATTAATTATCATTGAAGGCTGTAGTATCACTTGACGCTGGAGTATCACTGGAGGCTGGACTATCACTGGAGGCCTGATCATTACTGGAGGCTAGAGTATTATTATATGCTGGAGTATCATTAGAGGCTGGAGTATCACTGGAGGCTGGAGTATCACTGGAGGCTGGAGTATCACTGGAAGCAGGAGTATCACTGGATGGTGGTTGTATCACTGGGCGGTGGAGTATCAATGGATGCTGGAGTATCACTTGAAGCTTGAATATCACTGTACGCTGGAATAACACTGAAGGTTGGAGTATCACTGGAGGCTGGAGTATCACTGGAGGATTAATTATCATTGAAGGCTGTAGTATCACTGAACGCTGGAGTATCACTGGAGGCTGGAGTATCACTGGAGGATGGAGTACCACTAGAGGTTGGAGTATTGCTGGAGGTTGGTTGTATCACCTGGAGTATCACTGGATGCTGGAATATCACTGGAGGCAGGAGTATCACTGGAGACAGGAGTAACACTGGAGGCTGGAGTATCACCTGCAGTGACGCTGGAGGCTGTAATATCACTGGAGGCTGGAGTATCACTGGTTTCTGGAGTCTCTGTAGGCTGCAGTATCACTGAAGGCTGTAGTATCACTGGAGACTGGAGTATCACTCGAGGCCGGAATATCACTGGAGGCTGTAGTGTAGTATCATTTGAGTCTGAAGTATCACTGCCATCTGGAGTATCACTGGACGCTGGAGTATCACTTGAGGCTGGAGTATCACATGACGATGGAGCATCACTGGAAGCTGGAGTATCACTGGAGGCTAGAGTATTTCTAGAGGCTGGAGTATCACTAGAGGCTGGAGTATTGCTGGAGGCTGGTTGTATCACCTGGAATATCACTGGACGCTGGAGTATCACTGGAGGCAGGAGTATCACTGGAGGCAGGATTAACACTAGAGGCTGGAGTATCTCTGCAGGCTGGAGTATCACTAGAGGCTCGATTTACACTGGAGACTGGAGTATCGTTGGAGGCTAGAGTATGACTAGAGGCTGGAGTATCACTGGACGCTGGAGAATTACTGGACGCTGGAGTATCACTGGAGGCTGGAGTATCTCTGCAGGCTGGAGTATCACTGGAGACTCGATTAACACTGCAGGCTGGAGTATGACTGGAGGCTAGAGTATCACTGGATGCTGGAGAATTACTGGACGCTGGAATATCACTGGAGGCTGGAGTATCACTTGTTTCTGGAGTATCTCTTTAGGCTGGAGTATCAATAAAGGCTGCAGTATCACTGGAGACTGGAGTATCACTCGAGGCCGGAATATCACTGGAGGCTGTAGTGTAGTATCATTTGAGTCTGAAGTATCACTGCCATCTGGAGTATCACTGGACGCTGGAGTATCACTTGAGGCTGGAGTATCACATGACGATGGAGCATCACTGGAAGCTGGAGTATCACTGGAGGCTAGAGTATTTCTAGAGGCTGGAGTATCACTAGAGGCTGGAGTATTGCTGGAGGCTGGTTGTATCACCTGGAATATCACTGGACGCTGGAGTATCACTGGAGGCAGGAGTATCACTGGAGGCAGGATTAACACTAGAGGCTGGAGTATCTCTGCAGGCTGGAGTATCACTAGAGGCTCGATTTACACTGGAGACTGGAGTATCGTTGGAGGCTGGAGTATGACTAGAGGCTGGAGTATCACTGGACGCTGGAGAATTACTGGACGCTGGAGTATCACTGGAGGCTGGAGTATCTCTGCAGGCTGGAGTATCACTGGAGACTCGATTAACACTGCAGGCTGGAGTATGATTGGAGGCTAGAGTATCACTGGATGCTGGAGAATTACTGGACGCTGGAATATCACTGGAGGCTGGAGTATCACTTGTTTCTGGAGTATCTCTTTAGGCTGGAGTATCAATAAAGGCTGCAGTATCACTGGAGGCTGGAGTATCACTGGAGGCTGGAGTATCACTGGAGGATGGAGTATCACTTTTAGGCTGGAGTATCTCTGGAGGCTGGATTATCACTAGAGGCTGGAGTATTTGTAGAGGCTGGTTGTATCACCTGGAGTATCACTGGATGCTGGAGTATCACTGGAGGCAGGAGTACCACTGGAGGCAAGAGTAACACTGGAGGCTGGAGTATCTCTACAGGCTGGAGTATCACTAGAGGCTGGAGTATCTCTGGAGGCTGGAGTATCTCGGGAGGCTGGGGTATCCCTAGAGGCTGGAGTATTTCTGGAGGCTGGTTGTATCACCTAGAGTATCACTGGACGCTGGAGTATCACTGGAGGCAGGAGTATCACTGGAGGCAGGAGTATCACTGGAGGCAAGAGTAACACTGGAGGCTGGAGTATCTCTTCAGGCTGGAGTATCACTGGAGGCTGGAATGTCACCTGCAGTGACACTGGAGGCTGTAATATCACTGAAGGCTGGAGTATCACTGGTTTCTGGAGTATCTCTGCAGGCTGGAGTATCACTGGAGGCTGCAGTATCACTGGAGGCTGGAGTATCACTAGAGGCCGGAATGTCACTGGACGCTGTAGTATCATTTGAGTCTGAAGTATCACTGGAGGCTGGAGTATCATTGGAGGCTGGAGCATCACTGGAGGCTGGAGTTTCAGTCGAGGCTGCTAGTATCACTGGAAGGTGGAGTATCACTGGAAGCTGGAGTATCTCTTTAGGCTGGAATATCACTTGAGGCTGGAATATCACTGGAGTCTGGAGTATCACTAGAGGCAGGAATATCGTTGAAGGCTGGAGTGTCACTGGATGCTGGAGAATCACTGGATGCTGGTATTATTACTGGACGCTGGAGTATTACTGGACGCTGGAGTATCACTGGAGGCTGGGGTATCACTGGATGCTGGAGCGTCACTGAACGCTGGGATACCACTGGACGCTGGAGTATCACTGGAGGCTTTAGTATCACTGGACGCTTTAGTATCACTGGACGCTGGAGTATCACTGAAGGCTGGAATAATACTGGAGGCTGGAGTATCACTTGAGGCTGGAATATCACCTGAGGCTGGGATATCACCTGAGGCTGGAGTATCGCAAGAGGCTGGAGTAACACTGGAGGCTGGAGTATCTAGCTGGGTTATTAGGCATGTGAGTCTTGCTTATACCGTACATGTATGGCTGTGGAGGGGACGTTGAAGTAAAATGTTTAATGAGGTTAGCTTTACCTGACTTCATTGAACTCATGAGACTCGCTTATCCGGGTAACCGAGATTATTTAAGTCTCTACAGCATCACTTCCTCCATTATAGACAGTTTTACCTTTTTGTAGCAGCGAAGAAACGGCAGGATCTGTGACTCTACAATATTACAGTAAATTCACCGGACAACTCGTGAAGTGATAACATTTATAATATTAATGGTAATAACATATAAATCATCATTAGTGTTACGAACCACGCCACCAATTCTCATGATCTACCTACCCAGCACTACGAACCACGCCATCTATTGTCCTGATCTACCTACCCAGCACCACGAGCAACGCCATCTAGGGACGAAACCCGAGTATGACTACTCTTGGTTACCACTCCGGGGTTCCCCTTCTCCATATCCTGGTTGTTGCGTCACCTCCTACAAGTCTTCTTTGTCAGCTCCAGTTCGAGGAGAGTTCAGTTCACTCTGGGAAGTGACCACAGGATCACCTATCCTGGAAACCTACGGCAAGTGACTACCTACCGTCTTCTACAATACTCAGCCTTACTCGTCAGCCATCTCAGCTCCGCACTTAAGTATTTATAATCTTATATTGCCTCCCCCACGTCCACTTGCTTCAAATTATTGTATGTTGTATGAATATGTATATACTGTTACTGTTTAGGTTAAGTATGGTTAAGGGTAAATTATAGAAAGCTGAATATTTTGTTAAGGAATTTATGGTACTTTATTATACAGAACAAAAACTCGCATCCTTTGTCTACCCTTTTATAGTCCGATTGTCTTTTTTTTTTTTTTGTTGCCTGTTGGGATCTGGATAGACTTTTAACTATATTCTAAATCCCCAACTCGTAACATTAGTAATAGCAAAATATAAGAGAATAACAGTAATCGCAACACAAATAATAATGATAATAGTGAAAAGTAACAATAATGTACAAATAATATTGGCCTAAAATAGCAATAACTTCATGATTTTTTATCACATAAGAAGTCTCCCAACATCATACAAGAGCAGTAACATGGCTGGGAGAGAACAAGAGTTACACCTATAAAGTTGAACTGGTTAAGTAAGGTTTTGCTATTTTACTGACTAAATTTTTCATGACAAGACCTACAGTAAAGGTGAGGCTTAAAATCTTATGTTGTGTGATGATGGAATGATGACGTTGTCAAAAGTTTTGATGAATTTTGAAATATCACAGTTGTTGCCAAATATTGTTTTTTTTTAGTACTGAAGGGAGCCAAGCTGGAGGCAATCTACTCAACTACTGTATACCTGCGAGGTCTGGCATTCGAAATCTCCTAAGGTGAGACGGAGACAGTCAAAGGGAAGGATCTCCGGAGGATTGAGTCATCTACACAGGAGTGAATAGTGCTCTTTGTCACTGAAGGAACTCATTATTGCACTACACGACCAGGTAAAACAGAAGGAATCAAAGCGACCAAGGAGGAAAGATCATATAAGACAAACCTCTGCCAAATGGTACGGTTATGTAAAAGGTTATTGTCTGGGTGAATCGAAATTTATGAAGAGTAATAATAATAATAATATTAATAAAAGATGTTGACTTACCACACTATAGAGGCTGGTCACAATACACTGCTCACGTGCTCCTACGTTTAAAAATTAATTATGAAGGTATTTTAGGCCGACTAATGTTTATGAATAGTCTTGTATCTTTATATATTGGTTAATACGGGAGGGTGACACACAAATGTTTACTAGGGACCTAGACACACACACACACACCAGCCTACATGTACAGTAGACAAAAGCAGCCGCAGGGGAGAGGCACCAATAACCATCTCGCCCTCCAGTACGTGAGAGATGTTGCCCTCTGTCCTCAAGTCTGACAAATTCGTCGTGTAAGGATCTAACAAGAGGGACCAGGCAATTGTCCCAGAGTGGATGGGGCTCCCGGGTCATCATTTGGTCAAGAGTCAGCACAAAGTGGCCAATCAGGTGTCTGGCCAGGGTCGTCTCCAATCTGTGAGGTATTCAGAATATGTCCAGGAAAGCACCACTATAGTGATCTCCTTAAAGCATACTGAGGCATTACTGGTATCCAAACAGCTTCGCTAGGCAGTGCAGGCGGCAGTACTAGTCCCGTGAGGTATAAAGAGATGGTCAGGAGAGAGAGGGACTGGAGGGAACACGTCATCCTTTATCATCTCGTTAGTCTTCTCACTGTCTGAGACACCTACATGAGCCGGGACCAATCGGAAACAACTTCGGCTACATCGCCTTATAAGGTCGAGTTACTCTTAAACTTCAATAACCAAAGAATGGAAGCCTAGACACCATTCGAAGTACTAAAACCGGGGACACTTGTGTTGTGAAGGATAAGGGTCTGAGGGTTTTACTGAAGGCCAAAACACCAGGTAATACCAATAGTTAAGGAACTTGTGACCTTGATTAGTATTTCAATTTGTATTCCTCAAGTTTTCTTCTTTTGTTCAACATGTTTAATCGTAACTTTAATTCTAACAAACCAACAAGATAAATACTGAAAATTTATAGAAAAAAGGAAACTGCGATACCTGGCAGGAAGATTAGGGGGTAAAATTGAGGGCAGGAGGTCCAGGGAAAGGGTGATAAGGATGGTTGAATTAAATTGAAATCTGAGGCCTTGGAGAGATGTAAAATTTGGGAGGATTGGTAAGGAACCCGAACACGTTTAAAGTGTTAGACCGTCGCCAACTCTCAGCTTTATTATTAGATACAATTATTTAACTACATTTAACCTTAATTATAATCATATTTGTCTATTAAAACTAGTTTATGTGGTTTTCTATATTTTTCCACAAAAATATAACAATATATGTAATGTACGTTGTAAATGGTTGTTTGATAACTTTCAATAGTTCGTCTGCTTCTTCCTTCATTGTATCATTTGGTATGTTGTTGTATCCGTCTCTCTGTGGTTGGTGACATGAACTGGCTCCAGGGAAAAATGTAACAAACGTTTTTATCTGATATTTTCCCTTCCTTGCATTAAAAAAATCTTATTCCAAATTTTGGTACAAGAATCGCACTTAATTATCTTGATAATTACTTTTTATTAATGTTCTTGGGTTTTCATAAATTCCGAAGTTGTAGATCTGCACCAAGAGAGTAGTTCAATGTTTGAAACTATAACTGAATGATATGGAGCTCATGCCACTGAGATACATAAAACTTTAACCTATTTATCTGTTACTAGATACCTTAAATAGTCCCGATTTTCATCATTTTCTTATCAACATGGGACGCAGAGCCTTTCTTATGACTATCAAATTTCAGTAGTTACGGCGACTCACTATATTCACTAAGCTGTTATGAAACATTGAGTCACTGAGGTCATTGAAGATTCACTTTCGTAACTTGTGCGTATAAGGTGAAGTTGTGAGCAGGTGTGTGTTGTTGTCTGTTGTTTTAGCCTTGTCCTAAGGTTTCTATACGGCTCCTGCACCGAACTCTATATTATTTCAAATTTTCTTTGATGTTTCAAAGTCCCTAGATCAGCTCTATAAACAATGAGAGAGAAGTAAAGATGAAAGAAAGATATAATAACAAAAATATTGTATTTCTTCTCCTCCGATGCTTTATTTATTTCACCAATACTTTGTTGAAGTTCCCAGAATGTCTCCTTATTTTAAGGATTTCCAGAGATCCTGACAGCCGGGGACAATGTCCTGTGACAGTCATAAAACAGTAAGCCGGAGAATATAACACACACTCTCCTCTCCCCCTGCACACCTCACTCATGTCTTGACCAGGGCCATGATTACCTTTGGGAAATAAAGCTCTTAGTGGTTGAGTTTCTTATTCACGTTGGAGAAAGACGTGTAGAGAGACATAAACAACCACTTTGAGATAGAACGAGACTTTGGGAGTACAGTCGCCCACAGAAGTCCTGTCGCCTCTCCTCCTGAATCACGAACCTCAAGGTTCAGACTCGTGAACCCAAAGCAGTAGGCACTGATGCATTATTCTGTCCATAAATGATTCGGATTTATGAGTCTGAATCTCGGGGTTCGTGGTTCAGGATGAGATACCACAGGACTATTGTGAGTGACTGTACCTGTGTGTCTCTCTATGGTTAGGTTTATTAATCAGACAACACAATACACCTGAGGCAACTTGGGTTACGACTCCTGATTACATTTTAACAAAGACCATCTATTGATATTCTCCAACCAGATACTTAGTTCTCTGTGTGTCGATAGTTTTAATATTATGGTGAACCTACAGTAAAGAGTACATGAGAGGCATATCATCACTGTAGTACATAGTGAGTACATCATAAGTGTTCCTTACATACATTGTTCCTGGTTAGGTTACTTCAGGGCCTCCTCTTACTCCTCTCCCTCCTCTTCTTCCTCCTCTTCCTTCTCTTCCTCCTCCTCCTCCTCCCAACTGGGCATCCACTCTACAAACTGAATTAGTTGCCATACTCACAGCTATTAAATTCATTGAAACCACTGTTACTGACAGTCTCATCATCACTGACTCTCTATCCTCACTACTTGCCCTTGGCACCCTCAACTCAGGTTGTCACGCTCTTGTCTCTGAAGCCAGACACAAATATGCGCGCCTTGTTGACCGGGGTGTCAAGGTCAAACTGTTGTGGATCCCCTCTCACATAGACCTCATAAAACATGACAGAGTTGATGCCCTCGCCAAACTCGCGTCTAACAAAGACACCGTTGAATACAATTTGGGTCTGTCAAAAGAACCCTTAAAACTGTAATTAGGAAAGAACTTATTGATGAGTTTGACGCAAGTAGACAAGTGCAAACAGGCACTAGTCGATCCATAGTTTATCATGATGAGATGTATCAAGTGAAACATGTATAATATACATGTATAATATACATGTATAATATACATGTTTCACTTGATATATGGAGCAAGTAACAAGATCACTAGATTACAAGATGTTGTAACCGCTAGATTAAGGTTAGGATATAAGTACCTTTGGCAGTATGTTCCTCAAGCAGATGTAAACAAAACTAAATGTAAAGTATGTGGCCAGACATATGGCCACACACTTGAACACTACGTCCTCGACTGTGTGAATATAGAACCTTTTAGGGACAGGTCCAAGCACACTGTGTGTGAAATGGCACAACACTTCATCTCTAATGGCAAGATAGCCGACATATTAAGATTGTATCCACTTTTTTGCACTTAGTAACTATATCAATTCTCATGTACAGAACCAAATACGCAATGTGCTTGAATACCTCTCACGTAAATGTGAATAACAAAGTGTGAGGCCAGACATACTGCCTCACACGCCTGTACTCACGCATTTGTGAATAAGTTACCCTCTATGTATAGAACTAAACAAATAATGTAAATGAAATACTGTGTAACATTCAGTGCCATAATATCCTGACAACGGGGGTTAATTATTATGACCCTTTGTAAACCCTACTCTGTAATCCTTTTGCGCTACCGCTCACAGGATGAGTGTGGGGTGCACAATAAAGTAGCCGCTGTAAGCGGCAAAATCAATCCTTGCGTTGTTCCCACCCAGCTTATCGTGGCGACTTCGACATGTTATTTTACATTTCATTTTCAGTATTCAATTCGTTTCTTCTCAAGTTGCTCATACGAACTTTTATTAACACTTTCAGGTTTAATTTTATCTTTCCTCAATCTTTCAATTTATGATATTGAAAGTTATCTTTGATTAATTATCACTCGAGTTTCCTTCCTCCTGTTTACAATATAAGATAGTTTGGCTGCCCTACGTGAGGTTACTCATATGATTGATAATATTTCATTGGCTATGAGTCCTCAACACTACAACACTTGGCTGTGAGTCCTCAAGACATGGGTGTCAGTCCTCAACACCTTGGTGTGGGTCTTCAACACTATTACACCTGGCATAAGAATCCTCAATAATTGGCTGTGAATCTCAACACCAGGGTGTGAGTTTTCAACACTCTAACACATGGCATGTGATTCCTTAACACTGCAACACTTGACTGTAAGTCCTCAACATCTGGCTGTGAGTCTTCAACGCCATAACACCTGACATGTTAGTCCTCAACACCTGGGTGTGAGTCTTCAACAATATAACACCTGGCTGTGAGTCCTCAACACTATAACACCTGTCTGTGAGTCCTCAATACTATATCACCTGGCATGTGAGTCCTCAACACCAGGCTGTGAGTCCACAACACCTGGCTGTGAGTCCTCAACACCTGGCTATAAGTCCTCAACACCTGGCTGTGAGTCCCGAACACCTGGCAGTGAGTCTTCAACAATATAACACCTGGCTGTGAGTCCTCAACAATATAACACCTGTCTGTGAGTCCTCAATACTATATCACCTGGCATGTGAATCTCAACACCTGGCTGTGACGTCCACAACACCTGGCTGTGAGTGCTCAACACCTGGCTATGAGTCCTCAACACCTGGCTGTGAGTCCCGAACACCTGGCAGTGAGTCTTCAACAATATAACACCTGGCTGTGAGTCCTCAACAATATAACACCTGTCTGTGAGTCCTCAATACTATATCACCTGGCATGTGAATCCTCAACACCTGGCTGTGAGTCCACAACACCTGGCTGTGAGTCCTCAACACCTGGCTGTGAGTCCTCAACACCTGGCTGTGAGTGCTCAACACGTGGTTATGAGTCCTCAACACCTGGCTGTGAGTGCTCAACAATATAACACCTGTCTGTGAGTCCTCAATACTATATCACCTGGCATGTGAATCCTCAACACCTGGCTGTGAGTCCACAACACCTGGCTGTGAGTCCACAACACCTGGCTGTGAGTCTTCAACACCTGGCTGTGAGTCCACAACACCTGGCTGAGAGTCCACAACACCTGGCTGTGAGTGCCCAACACCTGGCTATGAGTCCTCAACACCTGGCTGTGAGTGCTCAACAATATAACACCTGGCTGTGAGTGCTCAACAATATAACACCTGTCTGTGAGTCCTCAATACTATATCACCTGGCATGTGAATCCTCAACACCTGGCTGTGAGTCCACAACACCTGCCTGTGAGTCCACAACACCTGGCTGTGAGTCCTCAACACCTGGCTGTGAGTCCACAACACCTGGCTGTGAGTCCTCAACACCTGGCTGTGAGTCCCGAACACCTGGCTGTGAGTGCTCAACAATATAACACCTGGCTGTGAGTCTTCAACACTATAACACCTGGCTATGAGTCCTCAATACTATAACACCTGGCATGTGAGTCCTCAACACCTGGCTCTGAGTCCCCAACACCTGGCTGTGAGTCCTCAATACTATACCAGCTGGCCTGTCAGTTCTCAACACCTGGCTGTGATTCCTCAATACATGTTTGTACGTCAACATTACAGCACTTGGCAGTGAGTCCTCAACACCTGGATGTGAGTCCTCAACACCTGGATGTGAGTCCTCAACACCTGTCTGTGAGTCCTCAACACTACAACACTTGGCTGTGAGTCCTCAACACCTGGCTGTGAGTACTCAACACTACAACACTTTACTGTGAGTCCTCAACACCTGGCTGTGGGTCCTCAACACCTGGCTGAGAGACCTCAATACTACAACACCTGGCATTTCAGCCCTCAATACCTGACTGTGAGTCCTCAACACTACAACACCTGGCATTTGAGCCCTCAATACCTGGTTGTAAGTCCTCAACACTTGACTGCGAGTCCTCATCACCTGGCTGTGAGTCCTCATCGCCTGGCATGTGAGCCCTTAACACCTGGCTTTGAGTCCTCAACACCCGGCTCTGAGTCCTCAACCCCTGGAATGTGAGCCCTCAATACCTCACTGTGAGTCCTCAATTCCTTGCATGGGGTCCACAACCGTTGGCTGTGAGTCCTCAACACCTGGCTGTGAGTCTTCAAACCTATAACACCTGGCTGTAAGTCGTCAACACCTGGTTGTGAGTCCTCAACACCTGGATGGGAGTCTTCACTGGTATAACACCTGGCAAGTGAGTCCTTAACACCTGGTTGTGAGTCCTCAACACCTGGCTCTGAGTCTTCAAACTTATAACACCTGGCTGTAAGTCGTCAACAGCTGGGTGTGAGTCCTCAACACCTGGATGTGAGTCTTCAACACCTACTGCACGTGTGAGTCTTCAACACTATAACACCTGGCATGTGAGTCTTCAACACACGAACACCAAGCATGTGAGTCCTCAACACCTGGCTGTGAGTCCTCAACACTTGGCTGTGAGTCCTCAACACTTGGCTGTGAGTCTGCAACACCTAGGTGTGAGTCTTCAACACTCTAACACCTGGCCTGTAAATCCTCAACACGACAACACCTGGCTTTGAGTCCACAACACTACAACACTTGGATGTGAGTCCTCAACACCTGGTTGTGAGTCTTCAACACCTGGCTGTGAGTCTTCAAACCTATAACACCTGGCTGTAAGTCGTCAACACCTGGGTGTGAGTTCTGAACACCTGGCTTTGAGTCCACAACACTACAACACTTGGATGTGAGTCCTCAACACCTGGCTGTGAGTCTTCAACACCTGGCTGTGAGTCTTCAAACCTATAATACCTGGCTGTAAGTCGTCAACACCTGGGTGTGAGTTCTGAACACCTGGATGTGAGTCTTCAACGCTATAACAGCTGGCATGTGAGTCCTTAACACCTGGTTGTGAGTCCTCAACACCTGGTTGTGAGTCTTCAGCACTATAACACCTGGCATGTGAATTCTCAACACCTGACTGTGAGTCTGGAACACCTGGTTGTGAGTCCTCAACACCTGGCTGCGAGTCTTCAACACGTGGCTGTGAATCCCCAACATCTGGCTGTGAGTCCTCAACACTATGACACCTGGCATACCAGTTCTCAACACCTGGCTGTGTTTCCTCAATACTACAACACATGGCATGCGAATCCTCAACACCTGTCTGTGAATCCTCAACACAACAACACTTTGCTGTGAGTTCTCAAGACCTGGCTGTGAGTCCTCAACACCTGGCTGTGAGTCCTCAACACTACAACACCTGGCTGTGAGTCCTCAACACTACAACACCTGGCTGTGAGTCCTCAACACTACAACACCTGGCTGTGAGTCCTCAACACTACAACACCTGGCTGTGAGTCCTCAACACTACAACACCTGGCTGTGAGTCCTCAACACTACAACACCTGGCTGTGAGTCCTCAACACTACAACACTTGGCTGTGAGTCCTCAAGACATGGGTGTCAGTCCTCAACACCTTGGTGTGGGTCTTCAACACTATTACACCTGGCATAAGAATCCTCAATAATTGCTGTGAATCTCAACACAAGGGTGTGAGTTTTCAACACTCTAACACATGGCATGTGATTCCCTAACACTGCAACACTTGACTGTTAGTCCTCAACATCTGGCTGTGAGTCTTCAACGCCATACCACCTGGCATGTTAGTCCTCAACACCTGGGTGTGAGTCTTCAACAATATAACACCTGGCTGTGAGTCCTCAACACTATAACACCTGGCTGTGAGTCCTCAATACTATATCACCTGGCATGTGAGTCCTCAACACCTGGCTGTGAGTCCACAACACCTGGCTGTGAGTGCTCAACACCTGGCTATGAGTCCTCAACACCTGGCTGTGAGTCCCGAACACCTGGCAGTGAGTCTTCAACAATATAACACCTGGCTGTGAGTCCTCAACAATATAACACCTGTCTGTGAGTCCTCAATACTATATCACCTGGCATGTGAGTCCTCAACACTTGGCTGTGAGTCCACAACACCTGGCTGTGAGTGCTCAACACCTGGCTATGAGTCCTCAACACCTGGCTGTGAGTCCCGAACACCTGGCTGTGAGTGCTCAACAATATAACACCTGGCTGTGAGTCTTCAACACTATAACACCTGGCTATGAGTCCTCAATACTATAACACCTGGCATGTGAGTCCTCAACACCTGGCTCTGAGTCCCCAACACCTGGCTGTGAGTCCTCAATACTATACCAGCTGGCTTGTCAGTTCTCAACACCTGGCTGTGATTCCTCAATACCTGTTTGTAAATCGTTAACATTACAGCACTTGGCTGTGAGTTCTCAACACGTGGATGTTAGTCCTCAACACCTGTCTGTGAGTCCTCAACACTACAACACTTGGCTGTGAGTCCTCAACACCTGGGTGTGAGTACTCAACACTACAACACTTTTTTGTGAGTCCTCAACACCTGGCTGTGGGTCCTCAACACCTGGCTGAGAGACCTCAATACTACAACACCTGGCATTTCAGCCCTCAATACCTGACTGTGAGTCCTCAACACTACAACACCTGGCATTTGAGCCCTCAATACCTGGTTGTAAGTCCTCAACACTTGACTGCGAGTCCTCATCACCTGGCTGTGAGTCCTCATCACCTGGCATGTGAGCCCTTAACACCTGGCTTTGAGTCCTCAACACCCGGCTCTGAGTCCTCAACCCCTGGAATGTGAGCCCTCAATACCTCACTGTGAGTCCTCAATTCCTTGCATGGGGTCCACAACAGTTGGCTGTGAGTCCTCAACACCTGGCTGTGAGTCTTCAAACCTATAACACCTGGCTGTAAGTCGTCAACACCTGGTTGTGAGTCCTCAACACCTGGATGGGAGTCTTCACTGGTATAACACCTGGCAAGTTAGTCCTTAACACCTGGTTGTGAGTCCTCAACACCTGGCTCTGAATCTTCAAACCTATAACACCTGGCTGTAAGTCGTCAACAGCTGGGTGTGAGTCCTCAACACCTGGATGTGAGTCTTCAACACCTACTGCACGTGTGAGTCTTCAACACTATAACACCTGGCATGTGAGTCTTCAACACACGAACACCAAGCATGTGAGTCCTCAACACCTGGCTGTGAGTCCTCAACACTTGGCTGTGAGTCCTCAACACTTGGCTGTGAGTCTGCAACACCTAGGTGTGAGTTTTCAACACTCTAACACCTGGCCTGTAAATCCTCAACACGACAACACCTGGCTTTGAGTCCACAACACTACAACACTTGGATGTGAGTCCTCAACACCTGGCTGTGAGTCTTCAACACCTGGCTGTGAGTCTTCAAACCTATAACACCTGGCTGTAAGTCGTCAACACCTGGGTGTGAGTTCTGAACACCTGGATGTGAGTCTTCAACGCTATAACAGCTGGCATGTGAGTCCTTAACACCTGGTTGTGAGTCCTCAACACCTGGTTGTGAGTCTTCAGCACTATAACACCTGGCATGTGAATTCTCAACACCTGACTGTGAGTCTGGAACACCTGGTTGTGAGTCCTCAACACCTGGCTGCGAGTCTTCAACACCTGGCTGTGAGTCCCCAACATCTGGCTGTGAGTCCTCAACACTATGACACCTGGCATACCAGTTCTCAACACCTGGCTGTGTTTCCTCAATAGTACAACACCTGGCATGCGAGTCCTCAACACCTGTCTGTGAATCCTCAACACAACAACACTTTGCTGTGAGTTCTCAAGACCTGGCTGTGAGTCCTCAACACCTGGCTGTGAGTCCTCAACACTACAACACCTGGCTGTGAGTCCTCAACACTACAACACCTGGCTGTGAGTCCTGAACACTACAACACCTGGCTGTGAGTCCTCAACACTACAACACCTGGCTGTGAGTCCTCAACACTACAACACCTGGCTGTGAGTCCTCAACACTACAACACCTGGCTGTGAGTCCTAATCACTACAACACCTGGCTGTGAGTCCTCAACACTACAACACCTGGCTGTGAGTCAACACTACAACACCTGGCTGTGAGTCCTCAACACTACAACACCTGGCTGTGAGTCCTCAACACTACAACACCTGGCTGTGAGTCCTCAACACCTATCTGTGAGTACTCAACACCTGCCTGTGAATACTCAACACCTGCCTGTGAGTCCTCAACACTTGGCTGTGAGTCGTCAACCCTACAACACCTGGCTGTGTGTCCTCAACACCTGGCTGTGAGTCATCAACACTGCAACACTTGGCTGTGAGTCCTCAACACCTGGCTGTGATTCCTCAACACTTCAACACCTAGCATGTGTGTTTTCAACACTATAACTCCTGGCGTGTGAGTCCTCAACACTACAACACCTGGCTGTTAGTCCCCAACACCTGGCTGTGAGTTCTCAACACCTGGCTGTGAGTCATCAACACTGCAACACTTGGCTGTGAGTCCTCAACACCTGGCTGTGATTCCTCAACACTTCAACACCTAGCATGTGTGTTTTCAACATTATAACTCCTGGCGTGTGAGTCCTCAACACTACAACACCTGGCTGTTAGTCCCCAACACCTGGCTGTGAGTTCTCAACACCTGGCTGTGGGTCCTCAACAGCTGTCTGAGTCCTCAGCACTACAACACCTGGCTGCGAGTCTTCAACACCTGGCTGTGGGTCCTCAACAGCTGTCTGAGTCCTCAGCACTACAACACCTGGCTGCGAGTCTTCAACACTCGTCTGTGAGTCCTCAACACCTGGTTGACTCCTCAACACCTGGCTGTGAGTCCTCAACACCTGGCTGTGAGTTCTCAACCCCTTGCTGAGTTCTCAACACCTCGCTCTGAGTCTACACTTGACTTTGAGTCCTCAACTCCTGGCTCTGAGTCCTTAACACCTGGCTGTGAGTCCTCAACACCAGGCTCCTAGTCCTCAACACTACAACACCTGGCATGTGAGTGCCTATATTACCAAGCTATTGTATATACAGTTGGTAGAACAATGATCTTTCGTATTTCTGCCGTTGTCCTCAAACTGAGTCATCATCTGTATGTATACGATACGATACGAAGTCATTAGTTAAGAGGTGAAAGAAGATTATTAGGAATTGAAGAAAAAGTGGTGAAACTGAAATACAGTAGGAGTAGAAAGAATCTGGGCTCAACCAGATCGCTTCATCTTTCTTATTGGTGTTTTGTCTTTGTTCTGCTCCCTTGGGTCGTCAGACCTTTGTATTAATATTGGTTTATTTATATAATGCTGCTTATTATTATTATTTATGTTATTGTTGGAGTTAGTGAGCCCGCCCAGGTCCTTGTGTAACTGGGAGGGTAGTCACATTTTTTTTTCTGAGGTGTTAGTTAAGTGTTAGTTGTGTTAGTCTAAAGGTACACTGTATGGAGAGGCCTGCCAGGTTCTTAGTGGAGCTGGTTGGTCACTCTCATCTTTATTCCTCTAGTAATGTTTTATGTAGAAATGTGTATATTGAGGCAGGAGGTGGTTCAATTACTTCTTCCTGGCTGATATAGCTGGGAGGGTAATCACATTATTATTATTAGTATTATTAATATATATATATATATATATATATATATATATATATATATATATATATATATATATATATATATATATATATATATATATATATATATATATATATATATATATATATATTTTTTTTTTTTTTTTTTGAGTTAGTGAGCCCGCCCAGTCCTTGTGTAGCTGGGAGGGTAGTCACATTTTTTTTTTTTTTTTTTTCTCTTACTAAGATGTTAGTTCAATGTTAAATGTTAAATGTTAAATGTTAAATATTAGTTATGTTAGTCTAAAGGTACACTGTATGGAGAGGCCTGCCAGGTTCTTGTGGAGCTGGTAGGTCACTCTCATCTTTTATTCTCTCTATTAATGTTTTATATGTATATTGGGGCAGGAGATGGTTCAATTACTTTCTTCCTGGCTGATTTAAACCAACTGTGTTCTTGGAATTCTTCGTTGTCTATATTATTTATCCAGTTTTGATATGTTTCTGTGTTAAGTTCAGTCACTTTTTTCCAAATATTTACAGCTTTGTTGTGTATATCTACATTGATTGCTAAGAGGTTTGCTCTCTTGTGTAGCTGTTCATTATTGATGTGGTTTGTATATTTTATGTTATATATAAATCTGCGGGCTATATTTTATTCTGTTTGTAACCTTTTAATGCTCGTTTTACCAAGGGTGTTCAATGGGATGGGTGGGTAGTCCATAATTGATTTGACAAGGGCAATATAAGTCTTTCTTTTGTTATTGATGCTAAGGTTCTTAAAGCGTTTTATTTTTGATAATCTTATTCTTGCCTGTCGTTCTTTATCTTTTAAGTATGTTATATATCCTCTTTTTGTTAGTTTTAGTCCAAGCATCCTACCTTCAGTGTCGTATGGGTATAGTTCCTGGTCGACTATTACTGGACTTGTTTTGATCTTGGCTCTTGGTATTATCTTGAATTTGTTCTTATTTGTCCTGATTTTCCATTTTTCTCAAAATCATTTATGTTTTTTATCGCTCTTACCGTGTAGAGTGCCATAAATTGAGTTGATTTTCCTGGGTATGATACTATTTGATAATATCATCAGCAAACATTACATATTCGCTAAAGGGGGTAGGTTGAGGTGTGTCTGAAGTATAAATTGTATATAGTGTTGGAGAAAGGCATCCTCCTTGAGGTACTCCACTCTCAAGATTAAACATAGTTCCCATAAAGTTTCCAATTTGAATTTGTGCTCTCCTATCATCTAAATAGTTACACAATATTCTTAGCAAGTATTCGTTAAGTCCCAGTTTTAATATTTTATATTTTAAGCCTAAATGCCAAACTTTATCAAAAGCCTTAGAAACATCCCTTAAAATTATATTGATCTGGTTACTCTTGCTTTTTTCTATTGCAATTATTTCCGTTATTATAGCTATTGCAGTTAGGGTATTTCTATTGGGCATAAATCCATGTTGTCTGTTGTTAGTTTTCCCATGTTGTGTTAAAAAGGCTATAAGTCTTGAATTTAATATTTTTTCCAATAGTTTCCCGGTAATTTCTAATAAAGATATTGGCCTGTAGTTTAATATTTCCTTATTGTCCTTACCCTCTTTAGGAATAAATATCATTTTAGCATATTTTAGTTTGTCTGGAAAGTAACCAGTTATTAAGCATGCGTTATAAATGTTTAATAGTGTATTTAAAATGTTTTCAGGTAGATTCATGATCATATTTCGTAATACCTGTGAGCCCAGGGCTTTCCTTAAATTTCCTCAGACAGTGCATCATTTCTCCCATGGTTATTATTTGATTATTAGGTAATAAGTTATAGTCTATATATTGCCTTGGGGTGATTCTATGTATTTGTCTTCCCATTTCTTCTTCTATCCTTTCTTCGTGTTCACTATCAAAATCTTCATTTTCCTCATCTGATATTTTAAAAACTTTTACCCATTCCCTTTTGAATGCTGACTCTTGTTCATTTTCCTCGTACAATTTTGTTCCATTTTGGTCTTTAATGTATGGTGTTTTTTGCTTGTTGTGCCCCATCATCTTGTTTATGGAAGTCCAAAATGTTTTTGTGTCTTTAGTCATGTCAGCCGCCATTATAATATCATTCCATTTTTTATTGTTTGCTTCCTTACATGCGTCTCTTAATTTTATCTGTAGTGCTATCTGTGTCGTATATAGCCATCTGTTACTGCCGTGTCTTTCCATATACCTGTTTATTTCATTGTAATAGGTCTGGATTAATTTAACTTCTTCTGGTAGTCTGTTGTTGGGTAATGTTCTAAAGTGTGAAGTAGGAGTGTGTTTGGTTATAGATGTTTTTATTGCTGAATGCAGTCTGTCCATTTCTGAGTCTATATCTTCTGTTGTTTTCCCTTGTAGGTTAATCGAGTGGTGATTACTTAAGTCGTCTTTGAAGCTGTCCCAGTCTGTTTTACTCATTTTCAGTCTCTTTTTTATTGGTATCTGTATGGGGCTTGTTGACAGTGTTAGTATAATTGGCAGATGGTCACTGCCTGTAAGAGGTCCCTGTATTATATGGTAATTGAAAAAGGCTTTGTTGTTGGTAAAAATTTTGTCTGGTGTCGATTGTGTATTGTGATTTCTCCAGGTTGGAAAGTTAGGTCCCAGATGATTGATTTTCCCTAAATTTATTAATTGATTAAGGGCGTTTCCCACGACGTTATTATTTGTATTGTCAAAAATCCTATGTCTGGCGTTAAAGTCTCCTAAGATGTACATCGGATGACTATTGTTAGCCAATTTTAATAGGTCTTCTATAGGTAAGTAGGGTCGTCTCGGTGGGAGATAAGTAGTAGCAATAATTACGTCTCCTTGAGTTGTATTTATTTTTATTGCTAGAAATTCATCCTGGAAGTCATCAATTAGTTTAAATTTTAAGTTTCTTTTAACCGCTATCGCTACTCCGTCATTTTTCTCATGACCAGCAAGCAATGGTTTGGCTTATAAGCCATTCTTACGCTCGTTATTACCGGTACGAGGAACCAGGTACACCATTTCATTTAATTTCCTTTTGTTTCATCAGGGTGAGTTGGCTGTTAAGTGAGGGAGTGTCTTGTAGAAAGTTGGTCGTACATAAAATCTGTAATTCCGATTTCTCCTCAGGCTGAGACTAAGTGTGTGTGTGTGTGTGTTGATGAGCATGTTTCTGGTTAATCTGTTTACCCAGGCGATGCATCACCTCTTGATCTGGAGTAAGTTGGGGAATGAAATCATCCACACAGGCGTCGATGTCACATATCCCCAGTTGATTGTGTTACTTTTAAGGATTTTTTGGCGGGACTTTTTAAAGAATTCTCCGAAATTTTTCTCTCTTTTTATGACCTTCCAAAGAAGGGCACCGTAACTCTACTAAAATAGTTGCGCCACAAGCGCAACCGCAATGCGCAACTTTAAAAAAATAAAATAAACAAATACTAAAATAATAAAAAATTGCCTATTTACTAGTAAAACAAAATATAATTGATACAAAAAGTTAATATTATCAATATTTTATTACAAAATTACAAAAAAATGCCTCACTGCCACTGGCCTTAGTCTCAGAGGACTGGCTGTCAACAGTCTCAGTCACTTCAACTTCCGTGTCCATGTCCTGGTCGGCAGTGGCACGATCACTGCTGCCAGCCACAGACACCTTCTCCTTCCAGCTCGTCACAAAACGTCCATAATACTAGTAATAACAAGAAACAAAACAACAAGAAACTGACGCCTTAACTGCAATGCTACTGACTGCCTGACTGGTTCTGATATGAATCATTCCTCCCTCCTCTTCCCTCGTGTAGTTGCCAGATTTCATCTTTCACATTAACTCTAGTTCTAGAGTTTATGTGAAAGATGAAATCTGGCAACTACAGCATGGGAAGGGGAGTGAGGGAGCGATGGAGGGATTGGTCGGGGGGGGGGTGGCGGCGAGGATCTCATCTGGTTTACAGTTAAAAAATATGCTGCCCGACCTGTATTTGTGTATGTTGAATCATTCCGTCAGAAACATAAATTTTCGTAATGAGCGGCTCTAGGGATGCCCGTTTTTTATGCAGTTGTATTCCAATTTTTAACTATTGCCGAAAATGTTTGCGCGTTGCGCTTGCGCTTGAAGATGCTTGTAAAAGTTGCGCGGCAACCAGTTCCGCAACTCTCTGGAAAAAGGTGCTGCGCAACTGCAAGCTCAACCAAAAAAGTTGCGGCACAAGTTGCACTAAAACTTTTTGTGGCGCAACTGTTCACCTTTGCCTTCTTCGGAGATGACCATATCCCTCACACCCCATATTGACTGTGTTTTTAATATCCATTAAAAATAAAAGACAAATTGTGGTGTGTATCATCTGAATGAACTATAATCATATCCAAAATTTTATATTTTCACCAAAAATACCGCTTTTTTTCTACTCTCTTCACCTGACTCCTCCAGTTAAACAGCATTATACGGTGAAGATTGTGACCAGATGCCCTAAATCTGATGCGAGACAAAAATACCGATTTAAGAGGCAAGAAATTGAGATGGCTAGTTTAGATAATTTGACGTCACTCTATTTTGATGGTAAGAAGACCGCCACTCGTGTGATGATAAAGAATGAGAAGACCGAGAAATGGAGTTCGAGGATGATGGTGAAAGATCATTTGTCATCATGGTTGAGCCTGGCAATGAATATCTCACACATGTGACTCCCAAGACTGGACACGGAAAGCAGATTGCCAAAACTATTCACGAGTTTCTGGTGGAGAAAAATCTAACCCAGCAGCCCATTGTGTGTGTTGGTTGTGATGGAACCAATGTAAATGTAGGATCAGAAAATGGAGTCATTCATCATCTTGAAATGTTACTTGGTCACCCGCTCCATTATTTCATATGTCAGCTTCACGGAAATGAGCTGCCTTTCCGCGCAGTTTTTTATCACTATGATGGTAAACCAAGTGGTCCTGAGCATTGGCGTGGTCCCATTGGAAAGCAGATCAAGGAGTCTTTGTCTGAGCTTCCAGTTGTCGCCTTCCAGCCAGTCAGTTTCCCTGATTTCCCTGTGTTTAATGATGAAGTGGAGAAAGATCTGTCCTGGGATCAGAAATACCTGTATAGGATTTGTAAAGGAGTTATCACAGGTGTTGTTGAAGATGACTTGGCTGCTATTGAGCCAGGTCCTCCCTGTGTGTCAAGGTGGAACACCTTATGGAGTAGAATCCTCAGGCTGTATGTAGCAACATCAAGACCCAGCCATGAGTTGAAAAGAATTGTCATTACAATAATAAAGTTCAGTGCTCCAATGTGGTTTTACATCAAGATACACCCTTACGTAACACACGGCTCAAGGAACGTATTCCAGTCCCTGCTATATATGAAACACCTGAATAGTGAGGAGGAGACGATAGTGAAGAAGGCTGTCCAGAGAAATGCATACTTCGCCCACACAGATGAACTTCTTCTTGGTATGTGTGCAGATGAGGACATGACTGTTAGAGAAAAAGCTGTCTCAATGATAAGAAAAATTAGAGAGGAGAATCAGCAAAAGGAAGAATGCACTGGCAGATCTGAAGAGGAGGAGGAAGATTCTGATGCTGCTGTTGACGAGAATTTGTTAAACTATACTGATGAGGAGGGTAAAGATGGAGATGGGAATGAGGATATGCCTCCTGTAGTCAACATGAGAAAGGTGGTGACTCCGAAACTAAAGTGGCAAGCAAAAACCTATCATTCCATGATTAACTGGAGGAATGAACTCAAGACGGAGCCTCCTTACATTGCTTCTCTGTCAAATCTACAGGTTAATGACATTCTTGAGACACCATTAGTGGTGCCCAAGTGGCCAAACAGCACTCAGGCGGTCGAGAGAGGCATAAAAGTGATGACTGAAGCTTGCACTGAAGTGACGGGATACGAATCGAGAGATGGATATATTAGGCAAAGATTATTGTCTAGGAAAATGATGCCAAGGTTCCGCACAAAAAAGAATTTCAATATGAACTTGTAATGATTTTCTATACGGTGTACCTGTAAAATAACATGTGAATTAAATCGATGTCACCCATGTAAAATTTATCATTATCCTGGAAAACATTAAATGACACCTAATTTTTGGTATACACTAAAAGTTGACAAAAAGTCGTTCGCGATGCGGCAGGGTAAGTATGCATGAAATGGCATGAAATTTTGCACAGGTGTTTGTTACAGCCATACAAACGATGCCTGAAAAGTGCAGCCTGCAGCTCAAATAAAAGTGTTTTTTCCCTGCCCCCTCCCACGGGTACTTAAAAAAGTCGTAAATGGTAACTACGTCAATCAAAATGCAAAATCTCACTAAAAGTGACTGAATTAAGGTAGTAATAATTTCGGGAACTGTACGTCAAGCTGTTCGGATTCCGACGATGTTTGGATCTACGTATCTTTGTGAGGCTGCATTTTGTGCACTGGTTTGCTGTCAAGACCAAATACAGAAACAAGCTGAACGTTGAAGGGGACTTGCGCTGTGATCTCTCTGGCACGCGGCACGTATTCAGGATCTCGTAGCTCAGAAGCAGTGCCAAAATTTTCCTAAATGTGTTCGCACTAAATAATTGTTTTATTTTATTTTTTTTTATTGGGTACCCTCCTACATCCTTGTGTAAGGTGAAGCATGCAAAGTTCATGCTTGCCTTTATGTCTCATGAGATAAGGGTGTAGAAGCCTGAAGAGTCAATGGTTTTTACGTCATCAAGTTATTGGGAGCTCCAACAACTCCCTGAATACGAATTCGCAACTTTCGATTTACAACAGGTACCTACTTTACTGCTAGGTGAACAGGGACTAATGGGGGCTAAGAAGTATGTCCAAACAACTTCCACCGGCCAGGGACATCTCGCTAGCGAGGCAAGAGCAGTACCACTCTACCACCTTTCCCTTGCCCCCAATTCACCACCCTCCAAATCCCTACTCCCTCCCATTCCCCCTCCCAGCCACATCATGTTACAGCGTCTGAGATTCGCGAAATGGGATAAAAATCTCCTTAATTATAAAACGATTAACTGAAAAAGTGACACTAAGACCCTCAGCCTCAAGTCCTCAGGATGATTGGAACTGAGAACATCTCGGGCCTGTGGCAGCTCAGCTTTAAATGAATGAAAATCATCAAATTCCGGGAGACGCGACGCTGAGGCAGACCGTCGGTCCATTAATTAAAGATATACAGGTTGTCCATAAATAATTACCCTGAATAAAGCACGAGAGCATACTGTTTTTTTTTTTTGGAGGGGGGTGGGGTAATCATTTATGGACACCCTGTATATCATTAAACGTATATTTGTCCGAAATATATCATCGATCTTTTTATTTTAACACGAATCTTGTATTGTTTTGCTGTATTACTCTCATAACAGAAGCTTGAGATTAGTTTAATTTATTTTATAATAATGGAAATAAGTCGTCTTGCTGGTCAACGGTGGCTTGGTATTTGCCACAAATGTGGCTTAACAACATTACTCCACATTTAGGGGAAGGTGACTGTTACGAGTTTGGGATTTAGAATATAGTTAAAAGTCTACCCAGATCCCAACAGGCAACAAAAAAAAAACACAATCGGACTATAAAAGGGTAGACAAAGGATGCGAGTTTTTGTTGTGTATAATAAAATATAATAAATTCCTTAACAAAATATTCGGCTTTCTATAATTTATCCTTAACCATACTTAACCTAAACATTAACAGTATATACATATTTATACAACATACAACAATTTTGAAGCAAGTGGACGTGGGGAGGCAATATAGGATAACAAATACTTAAGTGCGGAGCTGAGATGGCGGACGAGTAAGGCTGAGTATTGTAGAAGACGGCAGGTAGTCACTGTGCCGTAGGTTTCCATGATAGGTGATCCTGTGGTCACTTCCCAGAGTGAACTGAACTCTCATCGAACTGGAGCTGATGAAGAAGACTTTGAGGAGGTGACGCAACAACCAGGATATGGAGAAGGGAAACCCCTGAGTGGTAACTAAGAGTAGTCATAATCGGGTATCGTCCCTAGATGGCGTTGCTTGTGGTGCTGGGTAGGTAGATCAGGACAATAGATGGCGTGGTTCGTAGTGCTGGGTAGGTAGATCATGACAATTGATGGCGTGGTTCGTAACAGTGACAGATGTTTATAGTTGTTAGTGATAGACAGTGTTGTTACTTATGGATACAGGTCAATGAGTGTTATATATAGATACAGCTCGCTTAGTGTTATCATATAGATACAGCTCTCTTAGTGTTATCATATAGATACAGCTCGCTTAGTGTTATCATATAGATACAGCTCTCTTAGTGTTATATATGGATACATATCACTTAGTGTTATATATACAGTAGATACTGATCACTTAGTCTTACATATAGATACACCTCACTTAGTGTTATATATAGATACAACTCCTTTAGTGTTGCATATACATACACCTCACTTAGTGTTATCATATAGATAACGCTCACTTAAAGTTATACATAGATACAGCTCACTTAGTGTTACACATATAGATACAGCTCACTTCATTTTAGTCCATATAACACGCGGACTTGAACATATAATCGACGACCTCAATAGCCAGGACTCGAACCCGAGACCTTATGTGTGTGACCAGGTCACCTTTGTATATATATATATATATATATATATATATATATATATATATATATACAGGTCATTTAGTGTTATATATAGATACGGGTCACTTATAGTAGAGCGGATAATGGAAAAATCGTGCAAATAGTGATACAGGCATGAAATTTGGCATGATCATACCCGAGGGCAGGGGTGTCAAACTCATTTGCCAAGGCGGGCCAGATTTATTATGGGTACACAGTATGCGGGCCAAGTAACATAATTATGAGCACTTCGCAATAACCTCTTAGGTGAGTAGTACGACAAAATAAGGAAGGTGGATTTAGTCTGCGCTCGTGCGAAACCCTTAAAAACAAACAAATCACGCGTTTACTTACCTTGAATCAATCTTATTGTTTGCTACTGCTGCTTCCTGATAATTGGCACCTCTTGGTATGGACCAGTGCATCGAAGTTTGGCACTAACGACTGAGCTGTAGCAACCTTTATTATTGAATTAAGGAGCGCATCAGTAAGTTGAGACCGAAGCCGAGACTTGTTCAAGTTCATCACAGAAGAGGGTTGTTCACAGACATATGTACTTCCGAACATTGACATAATCTTTGAGGCAAAACATTTAATCCTGGGATAATTTGGTCCAAAATATTGATAAAATGTGCCAACATCAACACTCGAAAACTTGTTCCTCAACACAGATTCACACTGGA